TAAAGACGGCTGGCCATAGTGCTGACAACACTATCTTTTTTTTTGCCCAAGACACAGAAACAGTTGAACTCTACTTCACTCGCCCCATGGACCGTCAGGTTCGAAAACGGAACTTTATCTTACCGATGTGTTATGCACCAAGGTATAGATCTAGGTCTACCACTGAAATGATAAACTTTGGTGAACATAGTAGGCTAGTACCACATTTACTGCTGTGCGTTTAATGACATCAGAAAGGTCACTACCATTGCTGAGTCGTTATTTTGTTGACTGACATTTGACTTTTGACCTCAACCTTTCGGTCATTTTTTTCCCAGAATTATTTTTTTTTGGGGGGGGGGGGGGGGGGGGGGAGGAAGTTTGCTATAGATCTACCACGCCACTGAGTTATGTGTAGGTTTCAATTATTACTGGTATAAATAAGACCTATATTAGCGGACGATACTCTACGTCAGTGGGTTTAAAACGATCTCTCTGAATTTATGCGCTTGCAAATGACATGTTGGAGTGTAGAGGCCTAAGCTATTCCTCACAAAAGAATTAAATAACCACAAGTAAGAGTTCGACGGTTAGGGTTTGATATTGAATACATTGATATGTTTGTGTTAAGGAAGGCCGATGGTTAGGGATTAAGTTATGTTAACTGTTGGAGATAGATATGTTTTCAACGAATGAACAGTCGTGATTCTCCTTCAGACTTAACAGGGCATTGCAGACAGTTGCAAGCAGTGTTTCTTTCAGACTTTTTTCTCCGAAGGGGGGGGGGGGCACTTGATTTTTTTGGGGGGGGGCTAAATTTTTTTCTCTGGGGGAGGGCGGACACTAGTAAAAATGTATATTTTCTAAATTCCATTTTGTTCGGGGGGGGGGGGGGGGGGTGAAGGGGTAGACTTGCCTTAGGGGGGGAGTAGATATGCCTGGACAAAACTATGGTTGCAAGACCTAGCTAGGGAAGCTAGCCTGTACTATATTATTAGACACGTATTCTCAACGGTCAACCCGTCACGCATATATTAATTAATTAGTGTGCTCTCACCGTACAGGTCATCCATCACCAGAGTTCATAGGTCACCAGTAAATTGTATGGCGTCCCATAGCAGCATCCACACTATCAAATTTAATTGCCTAAAGCCTAATCTAATTATTGAGTCGACATGATCTCTTAATCAGTGGCGTAGCGAGGCACTTAATGGTGTCACCCCCCCCCCCCCAGAGGCGTAGTGACCCTTCCCGGGGACAAACTTTCAAGTTTTCAATTTGCACCCCCTCAAGTTTTCGATTTGCACCCCCCTCCTCAAACTTTCGATTTTCGCCCCCCTCAAGTTTTTCTCTATATATTTTGCTATTTTTTGCCTTGGTGTCACCCCCCTGAATGGTGTCACCCGGTGCGGTCCGCCCCCCCCCCCCCCCACCCCCTCGCTACACCTCTGCTCTTAATGACTTAAACCTCACCCTTACTGAAACCTTACCCTTACAATCAACAACATCCGTTTTGATAAAGATTCAATTATTGGTGTTGGGAAACTTTAAACCCCCAAAAAGAACCTGAATTTAACTGATGCAATCTTTTACCACTATTACGTCGACGAACATCAGCAGTCACGAGGGACCCTAGTTCACACCTACAACTGTCCATCGAATGAGCTGTAAAAATAATTCCCACGCCAACCTACAAACAAATAAACATGTACTGAATGCAAAATAAAAACAAACACTTGATAGTTATGTCGCCGGATAAACACGATGATGACGAGCGAGAAAGGGAGATAATATTCAGGTCAGATAACTCTTAAGAAAAAATCACCTTATCTAAATTGATAAAAATAAATAAATAAAAACAATTTGTAATCATTGTATTGTACTAACAGGGTGTGTCCGTATATTTAGGGTGTATTTAGGGCAGGGTGGAGGAATGTGGCGGCTCTATCCATAATGACGGTGGGGTAGGGCGGCTTGGGCCATGTGTTATACCTTAAGTTATACCAAAGTCCGATAATGGATCAAAAATGGAATCTTCTTTAATTAAAAAGGGGTTTGAGATTAAATGGTAGTTAACTAAATACAAACATGACTTGCTAATAATAATAATAATATCCCTCACCCAAAACCTAACCCAAGTATTAACATAGCCCTAATCATTTCTGACCATTACACTGAACCTGAGATTAGAATACAAAATTATACCATACAGTAGCGTATGGGGGGGGGGTCAAATTTTTTCCAGCATTATATATATAGCACCCCCTCCCTCAAACTTACTTTCGATTTGCACCCCCCTCAAACTGTATATATATATATATATATATATATATATATATATATATATATATATATATATATATATATATATATATATCGAGAGGTCTATGGGGGGGTTTAAACCCTCCTAGCCCCCCCCCCCCCCCCCTGCCTACCCCACTGATACCATAACAACCTAACACCCCCCCCCCCCCCCAATATTCGGACGACTTTATTGCCGGACACTGTAGCCTAATACCAATACTCTCCGGCAGTTACCAGTACTCTACCTCAATAAAACACGCGCGTGTAGCCCTAACTAAAATGACCAGATGTAAACAACATGCTCGCGAGATCCGTCACTGATGACCCCCCCCCCCCCCTAAAGCGCGTGGGTTTGGAGGCTAGGATAGCGTGAACGAGGTCCTGGAGTATTTGAGGTGTGCCGGTGTGTTCCGCCGTGTGTGTTGATTCATCCTAAACAGAGAACACCCAATGGTATTGTCTTAAGAGTGCTAAATTTGAACTTGGATAAAATTCGCATGTCCGGGGATTTGTTCTACTTTATGTTTAGCTAATCATGGTAATCAAGCTTTACTAGATTGTGATTAATTAAGTAATTTTAAAGTTTGTTTAACCTTTACGTTTTAAGCCTGTCATTATAACACGGCCTCACCTATTAAATTATTAATTACTATTTAATTTAATTTATTTAAATTGTATAGGCCTAGGCCCTATTAAATTATTAAATTAAAATATTATTTATTAATTACAATAGGGGCCTATATCTTGATTTAGGCTACTTAATTAGATCTAAATCTAGATCTAGTTATAAAATAATTGTTACGTTATAGTTATAGTTATAGTATAGATTCTACTAATTGATTTGGTTAGTCACATGGATTATTTATTAATTATAAGATTACAGTTAGGCCTAATCTTTCTCCAGTAACTAGATCTAAATCTACTCATTTGCCTGGTGTTGCGTGTCCCAAATGAATTGAGATTGAATGATTAACCTTCTGAAAGTCATACTTGGAAGTTGGAAGTCACAAGTAGAATCAGTAAGTAGTAAGTACACTAGACTCACTCAACTTTCAACCTTTGTATAATAGTCTAGATTAGATCTATATAGACTCTCAGTAGAGAGAAGAAATTAAAAGCGATCTTGTAATATTATCATTATTATGTGATTATTATATTATTTTGAATATTTTCATATGGGCAATCCTCACAAAAAATAACATATTTGCCTATTTTAGGGGTCATCCATAAATGACGTCACGCTTTTTTGGACGATTTTTACCTCCCCTCCCCTCTGTCACACATCGTCACAAAAAGCCAGACCCCCCTCCCTAAAATGACGTCACACCTCAGCCCACAACCACCCCTCAAAATTGCAGTTGAATTTGTTTTAAAACATCGATATTTTTTTCCCAAATCTTGTCTGAATTCTGTCAAAATAGAGAATTTTAATCAATTCCTATTACAATTTATTAAAACGCAAAATAACGTCTAAAATTTGTTTTCTAACATTGCTTTTTTACAATGCAAAAGTGTGACGTCGCACCATCTGACCCCCCCCCCCCTCATCACACACCGTCACAACGGACCCCTCCCCCCTACGAGTGTGACGTCATTTATGGACGACCCCTTACCTTTCGTATGTCGGCTGCTCCCAGTTTATAGAATACCTCACTGATTGCTAAATAAAGTAAAAAAAAAAATAGACTAGGGGTCGTTCATAAACAACATCACACTCATAGGGGTCCGAATTTTGTGGCGATGTGTGATAAGGGGCGTTTCAGAAAGTGTGACGACATGCTTTTGCACCTTGAATAGTAATGTCAGAAACTATATTTTACCGTTATTTCGCATTTTTTAAAAAAGGCTGTTTTTTTTAAAAAAATTAAAGCCTAATTGAAAGAATTAATTAAATTAGTATATTCTCAGTGTTGACCGAGCTCAGTAAATATTTTAGGAAAAAATCGATGTTTAAAAAAAAAAAAAAAAAAAAAAAAACAACCAACCAACCAACAAATGCAGTTTTGTGAGGGTGGTGCAGGCTAAGGTGTGACGTCATTTTAGGGGTGAGGATCTGGTTTTTTGTGACCATGTGTGATGGTGCTGAGGGACGGGGAAAATCATTTTAAAAATAGCATGACGTAATTTATGGGTGAAACCCTTATGCCATATAGTGATAGTCGGCTGTAGTCCGCCTGCTATAAAATAATGTCATTATTTATAGGTCTATATTCCTCTATATAATATCCTAAAATTATCAGTGTTTCCTTCAGACTTTTTCTCCCTGGGGGAGGGGGGTGGACACGGCTTTTTTAAAATATAAATTACATTTCGTTGGGGGCAGAGTTTCTTCCAGGCATCTCTTCAAAATATTCTACCCCCCCCCCCCCCCGAACGAAATGAAATTTATATAATTTATATAGAAAATATATACTTTTAACAGTGTCCCCCCCCCCCCAAAGAAAGTCTACCGCCCCCCCCCCCCCGAAAATTTCAAGTGCCCCCCCCCCCCCCCCCCCCCGGAGAAAAAAGTCTGTAAGAAACACTGCTTGGGGGGGGGGGGTACCGAAGAGATGTCTGAAAGAAACGCTGAATGTAACCGGCCTTTGATTAATTATAACAAGTAGATACACAACACTTGGATGCAATTGTTCCCATATCTTTGTAGCTTTAGTGTTTAAAAAACAAATCAAAGAACTTTAGTCTAGAAACTATTTTAATTTATTTGTAGCCACAAGTTATATTTTACTTTCTACACTGATAAGAGACGGATACACAACCCGGTGTGATAAAAACACAGGTTTTATAATGCGTAGATGTTTTGTGAACTCGGAATTTTAACTATCCATTTACAGGGATTGTGTTAAATTCGTGCCTTCTTACATATTATAAGGCCTACGCCTAGTAGGATCTAGATATCTAAATATAATTACTAAGTACTCAATCGCATTTAAAACTAAACAGTGGAGTCTCAACACATTTCTTTAAATGTAAGTTGACGAACTGACACGTATGGAACTCTTTTTAAAACCATGCTATATTTAGAACAGATCAAACTACTTTTGTTTACTTTTGATGTAGCGAAGTAGATCTAGTTTAGTTCTCAAGGCAGTAAGCCTAGAAGTAGAATCTAGTCTACGACTCTACATTCCTACTTTAATTCTCTTCGCACATGTAAAAGGTAAGTAGGGGACCAAGCATAGCCAACTGTTAATGGTGAATAACTAAAAAAAAACAAAACAATCACATTTTCCCCCGAAACAAATATATTCGTCTATTGTTTATTAGTTACAACCATCCGAAGCATGATTAGAGATAAAAAAAAAAAGACTTGTCAACACAGCTACCTCATAACCCCCTTAGGCATGGCCTCAATTTAGATGTGAGGTTGTTTTTTTTTCTTCACTACACATGACCCGGTCCTAACCTACCGTCTGCCTTCAGACACTGCGTGCCCAGTGTAGGCTTGCTTTGGTAGGAGGAGGGGCCGACTGGGCTTTTAAAACGTTTATTTATTACCGTAACCATGCATTGTTATTAAAGACTAGATTCTAATTCTAGGTAAGGCAGGTAATGTTGCTATTTATAAGTTTATTGTTTTTAGTTTTCAACAACGAGCTTATTATTTTATAATGATAAATTAATTAACAGAACGTTGCATACAACAACTACAGTTACAGGCACTACGATGGTGCCTGTTTGTAAAAGTAATTGATCTAATAATGGTGATTTGCTCTTTGGGTTGACTCTTTTAATTATTTCTACCGGAGCATAAATATGTTGAAAGTCTATTCTAATTTAATTTTTTTTTTCAAATTTAAATTCAGTTAAGAATGTGCACATTAAATTAAAATGATAACGCTAGATCTAGAATCTATTCTATGTAGGCCTATAATTAATTATACTATAAAAATTAGAGTATTCGTATCTAGATCTAGTTCTAGATCAACTAGTTAGCGTAGAATTTGTAAGACAACAGTAGTTTTAAAAAAAAAAAATTACTTAGAAAAGACCCCCACATTTCTAAGTTAATGATGATAGCCAGACTTAGAGTAAGCATTTAGATCTAGTGTAGTCCCAGCCAGAACAGAAGTGTGGTTTATGCTTGTAACTTTTAAAATGCGGTTTAATATTTATATATAGTATATAGTATATAGTCCTACATATTAAATATTTAAACAGTAGGTCTATACTATAACGGGGAGGCCCTTTATTCTTTTGCACATGTCTACCTCTAGATCAACCCTTAGTGCCTGCCATTAATCGGTATCTTGGTATTATGTTCAATGAATAAATACCAAGTAAAGCCTACACTTACACATCATTTGATACAAAGCAATTAAAAAAAAAAACCATCAAGTAAATACCCACTGTGTAGGGAGTGCCTGTTAAAATAAACTAGGCCGATAGTATTACAGTTGTACTATAAAAAGGGAGTTAACATGTTGTACTATTTTGTTATGTCCCCTTATTGTGTGGCTAGTGTTATTAAGATGTCTGATGAAAACAACAGATCTAGATCTTATTTGGCCTTTCTAGTTGGTCATTTTGACTGTGCATTATTTTAAATACTTAACAAGTTAACGAAATCAAACTCATAAGTTGTTCTTCATTTTTAATTACTTTAAAAAAATTGGATTCATAATACAAAAGTTATTTATGTACCCCAGTTAAATTAATAAATTAAAAAAAAATTAAAGATAAGGCTTATATTTATATAATTATAATTAATCATACTTTAATTGATGACAACATCACTGTTTTTGTGTTTTGTGAAGCATGAATCACATAATGTAAATCTTCAGTTTAAAAACTAATCTGTCCTCTTCATTGTTTTCGAATAAACACTTAAGGCATAAATAGTCATTTTATCTCACATAACTGATGCTTAACAGTTATTAATTTTTGACTTTAACAATTTTCACTTTTTTGTTTTGTTATACAGATTTGGTAATAACATTTTGAGAAAAAACTAAATATTTAAAAAAAGACAGGTTAAAATATTCATCATGTAAGTATTTTATTCTACAGATATTTTGATTTTCTATCTCACTGATTGTATTTGAGTTATTTTGAAGTGCAGTGTAGTGGACTTGATAGTGATAAGGGATCTGAAACAATGTGTAGGGTCTACTCATAGCTCTTCATGAAATGTTGAGTGGCTGCAGGCACTAGAACTGGTTTTCAGCATTGAAGAGTAACTTTCACCTGCTAGTTGTAGATAACTGATAACCAATGCTTGCAGTTTCTATTCTTTAAAGCAGAAATAATGAGTTTTTGCAATTATTTTAAGATTGTTACCTCAATTTTTATTTACCTTTGTGACTAAAAAAAAAACAACTTTACGTTGACACTAATTTAGGTATATTAAAAATTTTAATTTTTAAAGTGACTTAAAGATTAAGTTTTAAAACTTGGACCCTAATTTCTTGGATTTTATTTTTTAAGCTGGTTGTAAATGCAATGACGTTTTACGAAAATAATATGTTTACAATTATATGTTTCCAATCATAAGAAATTGTAGCTTCTTATATAAAATAAAAAGGTTGTATGAAATATATGTATGCAGTTGTATGAACTTATACCAGCTGTGTTCATACAAAATATAGGCTACAGTCCTATTCATGTCAATAAGTCTTTAGATTTTGTACAGTGGTTTACAAAATAGCGGCCCACATCTACTATTTCAATGTTTGATCAAATGTTTGTATACAAGAGTACCAAAACCATGTTGCTTGTCACCCCAGGCCTCCCATTATCAGCACCCTCTTGACCAGCTTCACAAATATAGCGCTCAGAAGTCGAGTCCGGGACGATGATGTGATCGACCAGCTGAACCATTGGGCCACGGTTGGGCTGCTGTTTGCCCTGGCTATGGGTGAGTTCATCTTTTGTACATTCATTAGGTTAGCTTGTAAGGACTTAAGATAATCTTCAGTCTTAAATAACTGGATTTTGGTATGAGTTTAAGCTAAACTGTGAGGATTATATTAATGTTTTTGTCTCATAAAACAATTTTAGGTTTGGCGTGGCCTAGCGGTAGAGAGCTAAACTGCTAACCCAAAAGTCTCAAGTTCAAATCCGGGTTAAAATCAGTGGAATGTCCTTGAGTCCACCCAACTCTGATGGGTACCTAACTTACATTAGGGAAACAAGGGCGGCTGGGCATAGTGCTGACCACACTATCCCTTCATATGCCGAAGTCTCTGAAGCAGATGAGCTTTACTTCATCTGCCCCATGTGTCTTGGGCATGAACAGGAAATGAGGATGATGATGAGATAGATGGTTCATATAGATCTTCCCATAACACCACTTTTTCCTTGTTTAATGAAGTATAACAAGAATTAAAACTGAGAGCCCTTTCTTTTAAGTTAAGAGCTGGAAGGTTGCAGGGTTAGCAGTCTAGCTCTCTCCGTTAAACCACCTCAACCCATGTAATGATAACAGAAAGCCCTTATACTAGTGGCAAAAGGTAAAGTGTGTCAGGAATATAATACAGGTTCCAGAGTGTCTAGCTTACTGTACCTCACTCTTTATTGCAGTTAGCAAGATTTACACTAAAATTTTAAATATCTCAATGATTTTTTTCATGTGATTTCCTACAGGCACTGGTGCTAAACAGTATGTTGGTGATCCCATCCATTGTTGGGTACCAGCAGTGTACTCAAAGAAACATTACCAACAATATTCAGACAGCTATTGTTGGATACATCCCATGTACAACGTTCCATTTGAAGACCAATTACCATATGATGAACAAGACAGGTATTTTGTTGGTCAAATCTGTTTTATGTTAATTATTGATTCTATTTAATATTTTATTTATTGAGTTATGGGATGGTGTGGCCTAGAGGTAGGGGGCTAGACTGCTAACTGGAAAGTCTCAAGTATGAACTCTACTTCATCTGGCCCTTGTGTATGGGGCACAAATGGGAAAAGATGATTTATTGAGTTACTAAAGTTAGGAGTTTAATCAGAAATTATTTTCAGAAAGTGTTGATATACATTACACTTTACAAAATACACTTCTTTTTAAAAAAAATATATAGCAGTTTAAATCATTTAAGCTCTAGTAAATCAGTTGTTTAATCCCCAAGTGTGGCTAAAAAAATTAAATTTTTATTCAGCCTTTTCAAGAATTTTATCATTGCTTCTTGTTAATTTTTATCTTTAAAAAATGTTCTAGTTCAATAATAAAAGTACATTTGCAGTTTAAAACTGATTTTTACTTTGGGTTTTTATAAAGTTACAAGTAATGCATTTCCCACCTAAATTTTTTTGTATACATATTTTTTAATGACATTTAATTAAACAAAACAACTTGTATGTCTAATAACTTGTACATGTAAACAACTATTTCAGATGGTACAATGACTTAGGCTACTACAGATGGGTGTTCATTGTGTTCCTGATTCAAGCCTTCCTGTTTTATTTCCCGTATATGGTCTGGCAGCAAATGAAAAACTACTCGGGGCTAAATGTTACAAAAATTGTCGGTATGGCCCTAGACACATCCATGTTGACGCAGGATAAGAGAGATGAGAAAATGGGCCACATTGCGCATTTCATGGACAGGTGGCTGTTGACTTACTCGCAGTACAAGTACAACGCTCTAACAAACTTCCGAGACAAGTGTTCTCGTGTTATGTTTTGTTTTGGTAAGAGATCTGGCACGTACCTAAGCGGATTGTACATGTTCATCAAACTTTTGTACTTCGCGAATGTGATCGGTCAGTTTTTCTTACTCTCGTCGTTTCTGGATATCAATTTCTGGACATTCGGGATCAAGGCAATGGAAACCTTCGGCAAGAAAGGGAGATGGCAGGACCATCATACGTTCCCTCGAGTTGGGTTCTGCGATTACAAAATCCGTCAACTGTACAACCTCCAGACCTTCACGGTCCAGTGTGTTCTGTCAATTAATTTGTTCCTAGAGAAGATGTACCTCATCTTCTGGTTCTGGTTGGTTATTCTTCTTGCCTTCAACACAGTCAACCTCATTCAGTGGATACTTCGCAGCATTGTCCCAAGCATTGGCGGAAACTTCCTCTCCAAGTATAGCATACTTCTCAAGCTGAACACTGCCAGTGAGAAAAAATTATTCCGGAAATTTGTCGGGCAGTATCTCAAAACGGACGGGGTGTTTGTGATGAGAATTGTTTCGGCCAACATTGGGGACATGTTGACGCTGGACTTGGTCAACCATTTGTGGAAACAGTACAAAGATAAATACACCTTAAAAGATGACGTGGCTGCTAGCCCGGGGCGTAATGGTGGACTGGCCAGTCCTAGTGCACCTGATATTGATGATGACACTATCCCACCTAAAAAGGTTGATTAAGTTAATGAACTCTTAATAGCTTACTAGCAGTCCCACCAGAGAAAATAAATTAAAAAACGCACACCCAGTAGCTAAACGTAGATTTTTACACCATTTTCCTTAAGTTATGTAATAACTTACTTTCAGACATAAGTAAGATAGTTAATTTAATTATTTATATCTTTTATGAAGTATATTACACTGCAAGGTTATATTACATTTATCAAGTAGTTATTTATCACTAGATCCCATGGTATCATACTATAACTAAAGTTATTGTAACTCTCTAATTGTAGAATTAACAAAACATATTAGATGATGATTTCACATAAACCATCAAGACTCAAATCACAGGGTTATTTTCTTACTGTGACAGAAACAACCAGCATAAAATATTTTTAACTCTTTGCTTTGGTTGCATCTCATCATCATCTTTTCCCTTTTGTTACCAATGACACATGGGACCACAACAGAAATCTCTTTCCACTTTTGCCAGTCTCTGGCAATTTTGTTTGTCAGTCCCCCAAGATGGTGGTAGCATCCAATCTGGCTGCAGTGATTGTATTTTACACATATCAAAACATCCTCCAATTTTTTAAATGTTTTCTGTGGTAAACACTTCTTATACTATGCATCAAAGGCAGGTCTAAGTAGCACAAAACTGTAAAATAGTAAAAAAAAAAAAAAAAAAAAAAAAAAATGAAACTTAATTAACAATCTCATTTTCTCACTATTTTATTAACCAGGCATTAATTCAGAGGCATTATTGAATTAACTTATAAATACACAAACATAATTTTACTGTGTTGATTACTTCAAGCTACCAGTTTAAAAAAATATTTTCTTCCTTAATTATTTTAACTGCCTTAATTTATTATAAATTATTTATAAGAATAAACCATTTATGAGAATATATGTCATGACGGCCAGTTCATCCATTGTTAGCTGCATCACTCAAATGATCATTTAAATATCCACATATAAAGATGTTTGTATACTGTTTTTTCTCATGACCAATACCCAAATCAGCAGCATCAAAGAGCTAATGATCTTTCATTCCAAGGTTCTTGACTCATTGCTTTAAACTTAAAGCATTCCTAAAACCAGACTCATTAGCATTAATTTTAATAAATTACTTTTGTACTCATCTGTTTCTGTATATATTTAAAATTTTAAGAAAACTTTATCAATACATTACAAAAGCAGTAATGTATGTTTTTTTGATTTGCATGTTCAGTTTTTTCATGCAACTTTTGAAATAATGTCTACATTTTTTGGTTTTACACCTTTACAATCTTTTTCCCTTCAGTTTTGTTTCAACTTGAATTTCGTTTCAAGCTGTTTGGATTGTGAGCTGTATATATTTTCATTTTTATATTGCCCTAAGGAGCATATTTTGCTTATCAGTTGTTTCATGTTGATCGTTGCCATGCTGGTTCATCAGCTATTAGATCATAATTGATACAAGAGTCAGATCTTAAGCAGAGATATTTTTTAAATGTATCTGAAAAAAAAAATGTGGAAAACATATAGCAGAATATATCTAATTTCAGTGGGGGATTTAGACATAGGCAAACTGGGCTGAACAAGGAGCCTTCAGAACAATTTAAAAAAAAACACCTAAACATGAGCATTAAATAAATCAAGGATATTTAGAAATTATTTTTTTCAGTGAAAAGTATTGATTTGGTTTATATTTAATAATTATTTAAAATAACAATGGTTTATTTTCTCTCATTCTCTCTGCCATCTTGTTATTTATGTAAAGTGTAACAAAATTCTACAATGTTTACATCAGATAATTTAACTATACAAAGTTGTGTTTGTTAACTTGCTATAGCAAGTTATGGTGTCAGTTACTGGAGTCATTTTTCTTATATATATTTGTATACAACTTTTTTGAACAATTGTCAAACACAAATTGTTGGCATTTATGTTGTGGTTTCCTTTGTGCCTCTGGGGTGGGGTGTGTACCTGGGCATTAGAACATAATTGCATTAATTAAATATATTATAATTAAAACATGGTCATGGTCTATGCTTTTATGCCCATAATGTTTTCTAATCCATCATTCATTGGCCATCCTCTGATCTCCCATCATTCCAATATCTCTAACCCATTAGCCTATAGGCCCCTGAAGTAGAGCAATGTTCAAGCTCTTCACAACCAAAGTTCACATTTGTAGGCCCTGTGTCACTAATTAATTCTGCAGGATTTTGAACTGGTTGAACTACTTAATGTGTGCTTATAACATTCATTAGTCACCAGCATGATCATTAGCTGTGGCATGGCTGCAATGTAGTCAATTATGACAAGTTATGACAGGTGTGCTTGTCAGCACAGGACACTCACAGTACTGCCAAACTGTCAACACAGAATTGAGTCATAGCTGTCAAACTGTCAGCACAGGAGACTCATACTGCTGTCAGACATTACCCCACGGGCAATTTTAAATGAATTGTTAAAGTATAAATATTTTCAATTCAAGTGATTATCATAATTTCCTATAGGCTGAAGAAAAATTACATCTATGATGCATCTGGTGTGGCTGGTTTATTTAGTTATACATAGCTGTAGAAATTTATTAATGGTGTAGTTCTCTACCATCTATATTATATATCTATTATATTTAGGCATGTACTGGCTACAGATATAGAAAGAAATGTTGCCTGGGGCGCAGAATACCTGATGTTTTCAAATACTGCCAATGGTGATGGTAGTGATGAGGAAAGGGGGCTGGTAGCTTCTTGTTACATAATTATATTGTTATGGTCAATAACAAAGTACTTTTTTTTTGTCATTTCATGGAAATTCTATTTAGTTTTTTTCTGTATAAATGGTGTTTCAGTACTTGTAGTACTGGCCCTCTAGACCTATACCATCTACATTAACTTGTGCTTACTTTTCTTTATTTTCTTTAAAGAGGTCTTTAAGGAAACGTTTTGTGTGTGTTAAAATGACATGTATCTATGTAAATAATGTTTTTGCGTGTTATTTTACAAAATATGTCATTGCAATGTATGGCTTCACAATCAGTTAACCAAAGTTGTTTTTAATATAACATCTGCAGATGTTACTTTTTGAAAACTTCATTCAGTCTTTTGATTTTTTTTTAAATCAGCCAACATGTTGATCTTTTGTTTCTTAATTTTTTATTTAAACTTTTGATTTTTTTTTTAAATCAGCCAACATGTTGATCTTTTGTTTCTTAATTCTTTATTTAAACTTGTGTATCTTGCTTTTTATGTACAAAAAAAAACCGTTTCTTAACTTTTTTTTTTGAGCCAGTAATCAAAATACAATTATCAATTCATGATTGATGAAGACAAAATTCTTCTTTCCAATTTTTGGAATTTTGAAACTATTTTTGCAAAAAGTTGTATTGAATGCTTCATCACTATATGTATGTAGTTTCTAATGCTTTGTATTCCAAACAAACTTCGGTTGTTTTTGTTTATTTACATCATGATTGTTTTTAAGTGTTTAAATTACATTTTATCTTAACAATTTTTGTGTGAATTAGAGGTAATCTCTAGGTAGCATTAATGATTTGGCTACATTTACATTTATATCCTATCTAGCTCCGCTAGGTCAAATGTAATTTTAATATTTGTATGCACTGAATTTATTATGTTTTTAAATTCTGAATTTTTTAATGATTTATTTATTCCACCCAACAAAACAAATATTCCATTAAAAAAAATTTAATTCCATAAAAAAATAATTATTCCATTTTTAACATTGTCTATATGCCGAGGTCACAGAAACAAGTAAACTCTACTTCACTTGCCCCATAGACCGTCAGGTTTGAAAGGGAAACTTTTACTTTACATTGTCTAGCAAAAAAATTAATTAATAAAATGGAAGGGGGGGGGGTGATGCAGAGGCGTAGCGACCCCTCCCGGCGCCCGGGGCGAACTTTCAGTTTGGCGCCCCAATATATATATATATATATATATATATATATATATATATATATATATATATATATATATATATATATATATATATATATGTGTGTGTGTGTGTGTGTGTGTGTGTGTGTGTGTATGTGTGTGCGACAGTCCGGAAAAAGATTAATAATTACGCTGTATGATTGTCGTTCCCTAAATCTTTACTCAGCGCCAATTAAATTCCCTGTAAGATGCATTATCCTTTAAAAAATTATTAGTAATGTCAGAAAAAAAAAATTTGTAGAAGGTGCTAATTCGTTTAGGACAGTCTTTTTATGTTTTATCTTTAGAGCAATCTCTGTTATGCTATAGTACATAGTTGGATTATAAGTTTGTTAGATTAAGGTCACACAATTGACATACAATAGCAAATTATGTTCCCTTTGGACTACGATATGGGTATTTCGTTGACTGGTTGATTGTATAATGAAACAAGCTGAAGGAAACAAACTGGAATCCAACGGACACAACAGCTCGAAGTCTTGGATTTATCAGATGTGCGCTGCCTTCTCGCTCACAGTCAACAAAAAAATCAGAATTAATTGTACTGGTTGACAAAATTGTATTAACCGGTTTAATGATAATATCTGACGCCCATGACGTTCAGATTAGAATCAGCAGCGATAAAATGTGTATTAGTATTAACATTCTAAGTCGATGTGGAAAAAAATGCGTTGTCAAAAAAAGTTCAGTCATGCTCTATAGCTAAATATGAAATATCTTTTACTGTATGCAGAGTTTCTTCCAGGCATCGCCCCCCGAAAATTTTTTACCGCCCCCCCCCCCCCCCCGAACGAAATGAAATTTATATAATTTATATAGAAAATATATACTTTTAACAGTGTCCGCCCCCCCCGAAGAAAGTTTACCGCCCCCCCCCCCCGAAGATTTCAAGTGCCCCCCGCCCCCGGAGAAAAAAGTCTGGAAGAAACACTGACTGTATGGCTCGGAGCTAGGTTAAAGACAGTGGATATAGAAAATATGGTGGTTAGGACACAATATGAGAAAGATAAAAAATAACATCACTATGCAGGTGTTTGTGTGAAGTCCACGGGGAAAGAGGAAGAGAAAAAGACCAAATAAGTCCTGAAATAAATCGTTTGAAATAGAGAAAGGGGAAGGCTGGGATATTACAGTTCGATCTTTATAAAAATCAAGTGATTTGACGAAGTTTCACCTACGCCTATGTTCCTTAGGAAGCCGATACGAATAAAAAGAAGTAATCAAAAGAGTTTATAACAGTGGGTTCCATCGAACCAAAGAGGTTCAGTAAGTCAGTCCCAGGGCTTCCGTAGAGTTCAAGACACACAATCGGTTTCTTTTCTAAGTGTTAAAAGAGTTATCTAGTCCTGCGCTTTTTGTTGGTGAAAAAGCGCCCCCCCCCCCCCCCACAACCACCATGTTGGACAAAAATGGTAGACCGAATTTTAAACGGCATTAACTCTTTTTTTTAAATGTTACACAATCGTTAAATAAGCTTTAGTACAATGGGTTTCTTTTCTGAGTGATATCGATTATTTATACCTTAATCCGGTGTGAATTTTTCCGATTTAGTCTTCGAAAAAGCGCCCCCCCCCCCATCTAGGAAAGCTGGAAAGCGGTCTTTCCGATCACTGTTTCTTAAGAATATACGTTGTACAGTGAAACAATCAAGGTAGAAAACAGTTAAATCATAATGCAAAGCTTTCAGCCGTTATATTTATTTACTTCGACTGTTTATAATTCAAAACTGCAGCTTAAAATGAGCTTAAA